AAGGGTGTCCGTGGCCCTCACCACGGGTGCCAGGCGGGAAGGGTGTCTGCGGCCCTCACTGCAGGTGCCAGGCATGTTCTTTGGGGCAGTGAGCTGCACACCATCACAGAGCTGATCAGATGTGTGAGGGAGCCACGTGGACACGAGGTCCCTGACATCTGGCTGCTCAGGCCAGGCCAGGGAGGTGGCCCCACCCAAGGGCCTGGGCTTCGGCGTGGCTCCCAGGACAGCTGGGTCCCTGCTCACCACAGCCACCCAAACTCTAGTTTTAGAAAGGAATCACGGAGCTCCCCCTGTGCTCCTACCTGCCCGTCCCAGGCCTTGGCTGAGCCCAGAAGGTACTCAGCAGGTGGTGCAGGCCGCATTGGCTCGGGCACAGCCTGGGAAACTGAGTCCATACGGCAGCTGATGTGGGCAACTGTGGTGCTGGTGTTTGTGGGGGCCTAGTGTCTGTCCACACTGGCCAGGTAACCAGAGGCCTGCTGGGTCCTTCCTTCTCCCGGGTAGATAAGTGTTCAGTTTGGAAAATCACCTCCGAGCAAACGAGCTAGTCGGCACCTGCATGTCTGTGTTTGCCTGTAATCTGGAAACCACTGCTGAAGGCAGGCTGGAGGCCAGCGCACCCCAGCCCGCACTGCAGGGGGGCCCGGGCCTGGCGGGCCGGTCCCTGACACAGGGAGCGCAGGCTCCCACCCATCGGCCCATCTCCCCCGACAACCGTGCAGTCATGAGGCCGATTAACCCAAATCCGAGCTGACCCCCGCTGGGAGCTGTGGGGCGCTTCGCAGAAGCCTGTCAATGTGCCTTCTGGAGGTGGCGCCTGCCCTACCTAGGGGCCCGTCCCGTGTCCACGGAGCCACGAGTCCAGTCCATTTCTAGGAGGTCAGGGCAGCACCATGGCCCTATTTTTAGAAGACCAAGAGCCAAAGCAGATAATTATAGTAATTACAGCTCTGTGTTATGCAGTGCCACATGGTGAGCAGGGAGGGCCGGAACCACCCGGTCACAGCAGGGACAGTCTGCTCCATCTTCCCCGGGCAAGAAGCAAAATGTATTCACAGTGGAAATCTTAAAAGCAGATGGAAAGTCGGCCGATGGAGGTGTCTCTGGGCGCCGAGATTGGTGTGCGTCCTCATGGCCTGCCCTCCAACCCTGCACACAGTCAGCCCGGCTGCCTCCAAGGTCATTTTTAATTGATAGCATTGGAAATTTGAGAGATTTCAAATGCCGAAAATACAATTTGTTTGATGGAGGAGACACGAGAGAATGGCCAATGTTCCCTTCCCGTGGCAAAGAGGCCAACACAGAAGCAGACAGACACACTGACCAAGTGCTCCAGGGAGCCTGGCTGCCAGGACGAAGGAGCAGGGCAGTGTGTGGGTGTGGGACAGCCACGGGGGCGAGGGGCCGGCACCTGGGAGCTGCACCCGGACCAGAAGGGGGGGCGGGCAGGGTGCCGTGGTGCACGGCTGCAATCCCAGTGTGCTGGGAGGCCGAGGCAGGAGGGTTACAAGTTCAAGTTCAGCCTGGGCAGTTTAGCAACTTGTCAAGCAAGAGTGTGTCTCAAAATAAAAAATCAAAAAGGTCCAGGGTGTAGCTCAGTGGGAAGGCCTGCGCGCAAGGCCCACACAGGAAAGCCAGAAAAGGAAGCGCAGAAGGGGGGGGAGGAGCGAGCAGCCAAGCTCCAGGTGGCTGAGGCCGAGACCCGAGGAGGAGCAGGGGAGCTGAGCGGGGGCGCACGGGGGCTCAGCAGGCTCGTCCTGGGCAAATCTGAGAAGCGGGCTGGCCCCAGGGATGTGTGAGAGGAGGAGCGGGGAAGGACGGGAAGGGGAGGATTGGGGCTTCAGTTTTAGGAATCTCTGTCCCTGTCTGCCTGTCTGTCTCTCTTGTGCAGGGAGACACAGACAGACAGACACAGACAGACACACGCACACACACACACACACACACACACACACACACACACACTGAATCACTACAGCTGTAAACACGGAGGACTGGCTGCAGCCTGGGACTCTGCCCCGCCCTCCCTTTCTCTTTCCCCCTGCTCTGCCTTCCTCTCTCTCCTCCTCTGCCTCCCTGGCTGGTGGCTTGGGAGACTCTCTCCCCCTCTGTGGGCACAGACGTGCCGGCGTGACTGACGGGACGTCCCTGTCGGCTTCGTGATGCGGGCTGTCCTCTAGTGGAAGGATGGGGCTCTCTCCTTCGGACGCCTCTGAGGCTGGGGTGCTTTGCTCCCGGGGCACCCGACTGCGTCTCGTGTACCTCGTGGGCACCATGCAAATTTTAATTTAAGAAGCAGCCCACCTGACAGGTGGGGGTAGTCTCGGATTGAAAGCGTAAGAATCTCTGGCTTCTCGGAAAGGGGCAGATGGGGGGCCAGCGTGCAGCTCAGAGGTGAGCGCTTACCTGGCACAGGCGCGGCTGGGTTCTGGTGGCAGCACTGTGTGCGCACGCGCACACACACACACTCTCACACACACACGAAACGAGACGGGGGTGAGCGTGGCCCTGCATGCCCAAGGCCTCAGGTTCCACCTCCAGCTGTAAAAGGAGTTCATGTGGTGGGAGCACAGAGCCCTTAGCCGGAAGCCAGCACCCTTGGTGGGCGGCTGTGTCCTGCTGCGCGGGTGGGTGGGTGCCCTGTGGCTTCTGGCTGCTGTGTATCCACTGGTGCTGCCTCTGGAGTTGTGACACTTCAGCCACAGCCACTGGTCGGTGACACTACACGTGGCCTGACTCCATGCTGTGGTCACACAGCCTGCAGCCCGTGTGCCCCACCAGCCCGCCTGGGGCTGGCTGTGACTCTGTAGACAGGACAGGGATGTCTGTCCCCAGCAGCCATCACGTGTACGATGGCTCAGGGGACTCAGCTGTCCTTTGTGTGCAGGTGCCATCTCTTTTTCTGGTTTTCTACAGTTGAATACAACCAGTGGGTGGGAGTCGAACAGCGACCCTACCCTCCTCATGCAGGAAGATGGACACGGCTTGGTCTCGCCTCTGCCGAGGGTGTGCTCAGCTTCTCCTCTGCCTGGGGCTGGCTTTGTCACGGGCTGGGCCTCGAGATTGCCAGATGACACTGTAGGGGCAGATGCTGGCTGGCAGTGGAACCAGGGCTCCAGAAGAGAGGCCCTGGGAGGGAGGGCTGCCTTCCCTCTGCACTCTGGCCTACTGTTGCTGGAGGAAGATAACAGTGTTTGTTGAAGGGACTGGTCCCCCGCTCCCAAGCTGGATGGATCGGGAAGACCAACCCTGCCTCTCGCACGACGGGCCCTGCTTCCTCTCGCGTCCTCCTCCTGGCCCTGGACTCCTATTCTGCACATGGTCACACTATTTTTCTAACCTTGCATTTTTAAAAATTAGGTTAATTTTTAGCTGCTACACCCCGACAGTGTAACATTAGTGGGGTGTCATGCGATGTTTCGGGGACCACCGATATTCACTGTGTAATCAGGCCCCGCCTACCTGTTTCCGCCCCAACACTTCGGGCAAAAACTCTGCCACACTCTCTGAGCCAGTACGCAGCACAGTTGGCGCTGCAGTCACCGTGCCGCGGCGAGGAGCAAGCCAGGGCTGGCGAGACAGCTCAGCGATCGGGCACCTGCTTAGGCCAGCGCAGGGCTGGGGCTCGATCCCTGGCACCACAGGCCGCGCTGACCGGGCAACAGAGTCTGGGCGTGGTCGCACACGCCCGCGACGCCAGCTGCTGGGGAGGCCGAGCCCAGGAGGGTCACTATGAGTCTGAACTGTGTAGTGAGACCCTGTATGAAGACAAACAGACAAACCAACAAATTGTGCTTGGAGCTGCAGTGGCCACTCTGACCCGGCGAGGCAGCGCCACAGCCCTCCCGAGCCTGCGTCCCTCCCCCAGCCCCGTCCCCTTAGTCTTCTCCCCGCTTCCTGGCGTCTGTTGCTCTTTCGACCTTTCGGTTGTCCACACTTTGGGCTTCTCGTGGGAGAGACCGTGTGAGGTGTAGTTGAGCTGTGTGTCTCATTTATTTCGCTGAGCGTTCTGGGCTCAAGTGCATCCGTTTTCCAACAGTTGACTCAAACTTATCCTCCCTTAGGCAGGGTGGAGCTCCGGGGCGGGCGAAGAGCACACTTGCCCAGCCCCTTGTCCGCGGACGGCCACAGGCCGCACGCCCAGAGCTCTGTGCCCGGCGCCTGGACCCTGCGGGAGACGCCTTGCAGGAGCAGCGGCCGGGGCGCACGGGTCTGCAGGGCGGCGGCTGTGCGTGTTGTCACAGCCAAATGCACGCGGAGGCCCGGCCAGCGTCCGTCTTACTTGAACAGCGGCCGTCCTTTCCGGGGGAGGCGGGTTGGTGGTGCCCACATGCGCTTCTCCAGCACCCAGAGGTGCCCTCCTTGGCAGCGGCCGCCCTCCGGCCCTGACCCCTCTCCCCGGCCAGCCGCAGGGCTAGCCCAGCCCAGGCGTTTGGAAGTCACCGGCCAGGCTGGCCCTCACCGAAGTGTTCAAGAGCCAGCGCGCTTCTTTTTCTCTGAGCTGCGTGTGCTCTCGGCCTGAACATCCTGTTTTCGCCTCTTAAATTGTGTGTGTGTGTGTGTGTGTGTGTGTGTGTGTGTGTGTGTGTGTGTTGCGATGCTGCGGATGGAAGCCCGGGCCCCAGGCGGGGTAGGCATGGGCTCCACCTTGCAGCTACTGCCTCAGCCCCTGGGAGAGCTAACTTCCTGCATCCAAGGCAGTGGGCAGGTTTCTGTCACATGCTGTGTAAATGTCACCCTCTACTTTGATTTAATTTGTCTTTTTCAGGCCAGGCGTAGTGGTGCATGCCTGTACTCCCAGCACTCAGGAGGCTGAGGCAGGAGGATTTTGTGGCTTTGAGACCAGAGACCAGCCTGGGCTATACAGTGAAACCCTGTCTGAAAAAGACAGGAAAAAAAAACCTTACCTTTTCCTTCTGTACACAGATTTTTGAGAATTTATGCATTATGCTTTTTCTGTTACCGTTTCTGGAGCTGGCGTCTTGCTATGCAGCCCAGGCTGGCCTTGACTTTGCCACCTTCTCCTTCCTCAGCTTCTGAGCCCTGGCGTTGTAGGCGTGTACCACTGCACCAGGCTATTGCATTTTGACCCATGTGGAAATGTCTGTGGTGCACGAGGGAGACAGTGATACTAGTTTTTTTCCCAACCAGTAACTAGTTCCGGTAATTTTCATTGAGATAGTTCCTCTCTGAGTTAAAACGTGCCTCTATTTTAAACTAATCCCCATGTTCCTGAGGACACTTGTGCCCTCCCTGCTGGAGTCTCCTCCCGGCAGCTCGGCCCCAGTGCCCCCGCTGTCCCCTCTCTGGGTCCTCCTGGTGATGTTTGCTGTGTTGAACCCAAGCTTCATAGGCGGGTCCCCTCGCAAAAAATCTCAGCACTGTTACAGAAAATCTCTGCTGTATTTAGGTTAATTAAAGGAGCACTGAAATTTTATGAGGCTGCTTTTCCAAGAATAAGTTGAGATGAGCAATTATTCGAAGTGTTCTTCACATCCTTGGTATTGTGTTTTTTTGTTGTCTTCATGAAAATCATGTACAGTTCTTATTGTTTTGTTCTAAATTTTTTTTCTTCCTTGATTGCATTTAGAAAGAGAACTTTTATGCTTTTTTTTTTTTAAACACTATTGTGGAAATGCAGGAAAGCTCTGGGCTTTGTTTGTTCCCTTTGTCTAGGTCTCCTTGCTAACTTTCTCTGTCATGCGGAGCAGCTTTTACTTTGTGTATCGGGCATACATCATTTGACAATAATCATCATATTATCTCCTCCGGAGGCTTCCTTTACAATGAAAGGCACGGGCTGCCCGCTCTCTGCTGTCCTCCCGCCGTGGCCGACCCTCAGGGCAGATGGTGACACCCGTCGTCGGGAATGTCTTCATGTTTTCTCCACTCTGTTAATCAGTCCCGTGGAACCAAGCCAAGAGCAGGCTGGGTGAGGGCGGTGTAGGCACAGTGAAGGTGGGGACTCGCGCTGCCCACGGGCACGGGGGAGGGAGGTTACCCGAGGCCACAGAGCTGGGGACCTCGCAGCCGCCATCACGGAGGTCAGGTGGGGACCAGTGAGGAGGAGAGAAAGCGCTGGGCAGAAGGGCGACCGGGGCATGGGCAAAGAGTCGCCCCTGGATGCAGGAGACGGAGGTCCAGCGGGGCCCAAGGCGGATGCAGCTGCCCTGTGTGTGGTGCCCAGCTGGCCCTGCGTGTGCCATGGGGGCGCTGTGGCCCTGTGCTCACGGGCGGGGGATTCTGTGGCCTGAGAGGTTACTGTTGCTGTGAAATGCGGTTGTTTGTGAGGCGCCCCAGCAGCGTCGGGCGTGGATTGGGTACGTTAGCGCCCTGTCTTTATGCTGTCCAGTTCCATCGATAATCCTGCTAAGAGGATGGAATGCTGGGACAGCGGTTACTCTCGCATCTTTCCACCCGATGGGCCCATTCTCAGCCTTCTACCCCAGGCATCGTGGCTACTATCCATGTCTAATGCAAGGTTTCTCTGAGACACAGGCATTGCATGCGTCCTGTGGCCTTCAGCGTGGCCGTGGTCCCGTGACACCTCGCAGTCCACACAGGGCGCAGTGGCGGCTGTTGTCCTCAGCTCTTCCTCCTCAGTGGGTCGAACTGTTCCTCTTCCTCTCCAGGGTTTGCGGTCCTCGCCTCTGCTTCCCATTACTGGCCGCTGGAGCGAGTGGACGGGATCCATGAACTTCAGGATGTGACTGGAGGTAACGTGGGTGAGGGACGGGCCCCATGGGGATGGAGCTGAATGGATGGTGCGTGGCTTCCGCTAAGGACGAGCTCACAGGCTTTCACTAGACCATTAGAGACTGCTGTGCTCGGAGGGCTGGATTTAGCATCCCAAATATGACTCAGCTGGGCACTTCCCCGAAGCCTCCCCAGAGGGTCTCCCAGAATAGCCCCACTGTGTGCAGCCCAGCTGTGTGCGAGTCGGCCTGGCAGCCCCGAGTCGTGCTGACCTCAGGGATGACTGCTGGGGCTCCAGCCACCGCCCCACGCATCAGCCAGGACCCGCACCCTGAGGGCCGCCCCGTGGAGAGCGGCAGCGGTCTCTGCCTCACCCCCAGTCTTCTGGGACTCCCAGCGCGTTTCTCCCACTCCAGGGAGGATTCCGCTGAAAGCTCAGGTTTGGCAGGTTGGGGCATCACGTGACTTGCTCTTGGACTTATTGCTCCTGATTGCGCCGCACACCTGGTGGGCATCGTAAGTCAGGCCAGCGTGGGCTGCACCACTGTTGGGTTGCGCGCACACACACACATACCCATTTCCCTCATTGCTGTAGTTTTATCAGCTGCTGGAGATCACCGCCCGAGATTCTACAGTGTTTCTCTAATATCTGAGAACTGAAGAACGTCGGAGCTGGCGTCAGGGCCGCCAGCGTCCTGGGAGCTGGCCTTCAGCCACACAGTGTCACCCTCCTTCCTCCTGGCTGGCAGGCTACAGGCTGGCGTGTTCTCCCAGGCGTCCCGTGTGTGTGGCTGGTCGGGTAAAGCAGCCCGCTGTCCCTCCAGCTCACGTACTCTTACCTGGAGCCTGAAATTTCACGCCACCATCAGGTAGTCAGGTCACCACCTGTTGTCGAGGTAGCTTGTAGGCGGGACTGGAGCTAAGACCGCAGGTGTCATTTCAGACGAGCACCCCGATAATCGGCTGCCTGCTTCCCGCTCCCTCCCTGAGTCCTCTGTTTCTGACTGAGCCTGCTCGTTCCCGTGGAGTTTTCTGAGCACCTTTCCCTGTGAGAAATTCTCCCTGAAACATAACACGATGTTACTGAGTTCCCATTTGTTGCTGAACACGTTCATGTCTGGTGAAGCTGAGTGTGCCAGTGTGTCCCAGGACCCTGGAGCGTCGGGCCCTGCTTGCTTTCCCTGGGGCCCCGGGTCTCAGGGTTGGTCCCCTGTGGGCAGCCTCAGCCGGACCCCAGGCCCGTGAGGTCCGGGTCGGGGACAGCCTCCTGGCTACGCGCGCTGTCGGGGGTCACAGGTGCCGCCCTTGTGTGTGGCCGCGCTGTGCTGCTGAGTGTTGTCACAGTCCCGCACCGTTGTCTCCGTGCGTCTTTGTCCTGTCCCTGTGACGTGGTTTTGATGCGGCCAAGCTGAGCTCAGTGTCCTACCTCTCACAAAGTGTCTGGATGGCGCCCGTGAGGCCAGCAGCCCTTGTGCCCAGCTTCCACTCACAGTCATGGAGTGGTGGCAGTGTCATTGCTGTGTGCTGGGAGGAGGGCAGGGAGTGGGCTGTGGCTCCACCAGCCAGCGTGGAGAGGCAGGCGGGCCCGCGCTTCCCGCTCACTCACCCGTGCGCTTCTGTCTTTGTCATTCCCAGCGTCTCCAGCTTTCAACCTCACTGTGCTCCCCTCCCACACCTCCGTCTTTGTGCCCGCCAGCGACTCTGCCTACTCCAATCTCTCTGCAACCGTAGGTGAGCTTGCGTCTGCTGTGTTCTGTGTTGTCCCGTCTGGACGTGTGGTGAGTCCTAGAGCTGGGTTCTGCGGGACTCCACGGTCCTGGTCCTGAGACACATGGACAGTGGGCGAGGACCCGCAGCAGAGAGAGGCAGGGCAGGCTGGACGAGCTGGGCGCAGGGGTGCACACCCGTGATCCCAGCACGCGGGAGGCTGAGGCAGGCGGACCCCAAGTACAAGCCTGGCCTGGGCAACTTAGCAAGACCTTGTCTTAGAATTAAAAACTGCCAGCAAAAAAAGACCAGTTAATGAAGATGTGGAAGGAACTGTTTTTATTTTCTAAAAAATCTTTTGTACAGGGTCTCACTATGCAGTTTGGACTCATAGTGATCCTCCTGTCTCAGCCTCCCCAGTGCTGGGATTACAGAAGTGTAACACTACGCCTTGTTTTAGTGGCCCGGGCCAGCATGGTTTGCAGTACCAGGGATTGAACCTGGGTCCTTGCGTTTGCCAGGCAGGTACTTTGACTGCCAAGCTGTCTCCCTGGCCCAGAACTGTTTTCATATAAAGAAAATAATCTAAGACCAAACTAAGACTAATACCTAACTTACCCAGATTTTAAAAATAAACTGCCCTGCTCAGAACACCGTACAATAAGAATCAATTCATCCACAAATTATTTTTTTCCCAAGTCTTGATGGAACCAAGAGAAAGAAGATAATTATTATAATTTTTTTAATGAAAGATATATGCTTTTTAAAATGGTAAATAAAGACCCAGCAAAAGAAAACAAAAGCCCAAAATAACTGACCCAAAAGAGAGTACTCTGGCGAGAGCCGGTCCAAGTGAGAAGGGACACCTGCCGGGGAATCAGGGCTAGTGTGGGGGCAGCAGAACAGAGAACAGGGCCACAGACAGTGAGAAGCAAACCGAGACCAGCTGGCGTTGTTTTTGTCTTATCAAGAGAGAAATGTGTGGAATTAATTATCAGTTTAAGTGATGAAATGTAGCAAAAAATTAAAAATTGGAAAGGGGCTGAGGGTGTGTCTCAGTGCAGATGCCCTGGGATCCATCCCTAGTACTGAAAAAAAAAAAAAAAAAAAAAAAACAGAAAAGAGAAGAAAAAGTAGAAGAAAAGCGCCAGGGTGTTGAGACCCATGCAGGGTTCTGTGCGAAGCGGCGCAGGGTCTCCTCCACCATCCTAGGGCCTGGAGAACAGAACCCCCACGGGACGAGACCAGTCCTAAACACAGAAGTGGGATGTTTTAGGTAGGCACGGTGGCACACGCCTGTAATCCCAGTACTCGGGAAGCTGAGGCAGGAGGATCACTGTGAGTTCAAGGCTAGCCTGAGCGACAAAGTGAGTTCAAGGCCAGCCTGGACTACACAGTGAGACCTTATCTCAAAAAATCAAAACAAAACAAAAATTACATGGAAATGGGATTTCTAAAGGGGTTGCATTCTTTGGGGGAGGAAAGGTTTGCTCTTGCATTCAAAATTAAAGCTGATTTAAAACTACCTCATGCACAACTTGGTCTCTTACAAACAACAGAATCAGCATTTCTTGTGCAGCTGGATTTGAAAAGCCGTAGGAGCCTGACAGCCTGATAGCCCCTCCTCCCACCCCCATGGGCTTGAATAGCTTGCTGTCTTCCGGGGATGGGGACGGGGATGGGGATGGGGACGGGGACGGGGACAGGGACGGACTCCAGAGCCAGCTCCTTTCCTGCTTCCCAGGTGGGTGGCTCATAGAGGCCCGGCTTGCAGCCACTGGGCGTAGACAGCTGTGAGCTGCAGGGCTCACCTGGGCCTTTGCAGAACGTGTCACCTGGCTGGGGCTCCCCGGTGGGCAGCTTCTACAATTGCTCTGGCCAGCAAACCCAACCTATTTGTGGGGCAGCTCCTTACACAGTCAGGAGGGACACTGAACAGAGGCTACCCTGGGGACAGCGGCTTAGAAGGCCTGATGTGGCACATGTCCAGTTGATCACCTGCAGCTGCTGTCCCCGGAGGGCTGTAGTGTCCTGTGAGCCTAGGCAGCAGAGGCGGCTGAGCTTGATGTCCCCAGCAAGCACCAACGGCCATCACCTGGGGCGTCACAGGTTCCCCATGGAGGCGGTGGTCCATCTCCCTGGCCCTTGGTGGCTGGCCTGCAGGGCAGTGGCTCTACCCGGGGCTGGTAGCCTCTGTCCTAGCAGTTGAGGGTCCTTCAGGACCCTGGGTGTGAGTCTGGGTCCTCCGCTCTCTGAGGTGGCTTCTGCACTCTGGCCTCCTGTGAGTGGGGTGGGGCTTGTGCAGAGAGGGTGTGGGCGTAGCTGTGTGCCTACCTGCTCCCGAAGAGTTCAGTGGGGGTTTAGGGAGGAGCCCGGCCCAAGAGGTGGACGGCAGGCCACAAACTTGGAGGTCACACGTCACCCTGTAAGAACACACGGGTCCCACCGGCGGGACCCCGGCGCTACACCGTGCCGGCATCATCCTGCACTAAAACATAAAGGTCACTGTCATTTAGTTACCAACCATTAAATATAAACGTGAGCTTTGGTAGACAGCAGCTTGTGTGGCTGTCCTGAGACCCGTGCCCCCCGGCCCAGCCTACGGTCTGTCTTTGTCCCCCAGACCTCATGGAAGCCAAGGTCAACAAGAGCATCTACCTCTGGGAGAAGAAGGGGGTGACGCTGCTCCTGCACAGCAGCACCTCCTGCATCAGCCTCCCTGAGCGGTGCGGCCATGCGGGTGAGTGACGGCCGGGTCTCGGCTTTCCTGTGTGGTTGTTGGGCCCACCTGCTCCGGGCCGGTGGGCGATGGGCCCCGGAAGTGCTCCTGAGCTGCAGGAGGCATGACACTGCCACGTTTGAGCAGGGAGGGGACACAGGTGCTGAGCTCTGGCCCAGGGCTCGTCCTGCGGAGCTGCGTGGTCAGTGGGTTCAATCGTGTGAAGGAAGGGAAAAACCTTTCCTAAAACAGGCGTGGCGGTGTCACACGGGGATTGGGACTGGCTGTGCCATCTGCGGGGAGGAAAATGTGGGTGTGGCTCCCACTGTGTTATTTCTGGCTGGGGGGCGGGGGCACGGGCAGGGCGGCCTGTGCCTGTGAGCCCTGCTGGTGGCTGTGGCTGCCAGCTCTGGCTGACACTGTGGGGAGACCAGGCCTGAGTGGAGAAACACCGGACTCTTCTACTCCCTCCCGGGGTCTCCGAGTGGTTCTGATGAGGCCAGCCTGAGAGGGCAGCAGCTCGCTGCCACCAACCGGGGCACTTTCAGGCCAGCAGTGTTTCCTCTTTTCGACAGCATGCAAATCTCTGTTTCCTGAGGGAGAGAAGTTCCTGAGGGCACGTGGAGGCTCAGGACTCCCACAGCCTCAAGACTGTGGGTCAGCCGTGTGGGCTCGGAGGGGGATGGGCTCTACTCCATAAGGGACAGAGGAGGCAGACGCACACAGGAGGTTCCGCTGGGAGCTCTGGGACTGGGTCTGAGATCAGAACCGCAGCTGGGCCTGCAGACCCGAGTGGAAGCTGGGTGACAATGTCCAGGAGCCCAGGGATGATTTCCCTGTCCAAACCCCAGAAGCCCCAGGCAGGGGAATGTGGCTGGAAGGCCAGAGAGCAGTCGGGTCCCTGGCGTGGCTCAGAGAAGGGTGGGCAGCCCTGCACCCCTGAGCCATCTGCAGTGACCAGTGCGAGGGATGCCCCAGGGCCCAAGGGAGACCCCCTGGCCGGTTCTCCAGATGCCGAGGGGAGAGCGGGAGGCTTTCGAGCTCATTCTGGTCTCTGGCTGTGCTGGGCTTGGCAAGTGGCAGGGCAAAACTAAATTATCTGCTGTGGCTGAAACTAGCAAATGTTCAAGGGTTTCCAGTGTCCCCGGAGCCCCTGCAGTCTCGTGGGTGCCTTGTGTGGCCCTACACAGCATCTTGTGGCCCCACAAGGCCCCCAGAGTTTAGTGGCCAGCTTTCTCTGTGGTCTCCTGCTCAGCTCTGAGCTTCGAGTCAAGTTTCTTACATATAAAGCAAGCCAATGAAAGCAGCCCCTGTGGGGTGTGTGAAGACCGGACCCCCGAGGACTCCGGCTCACCCTGACTGCTCCGCAAGGGGCTGTATGGGCACCAGCCCCGCGCTTGTGACCCTTGTGCCTCTCTTCTTCCTACAGCAGCGGCTGCCTCTCGGGGGTGACACTCCAGAGCGGCTGCTGAGGTCTGACTCACCGTATCCCCCACGCCTTCGCTGAGCCCTGACCTCGTGTGTGCCCGCAGTAACTCGCTCGTCCTCAGACGCGCGGCCGCAGCACGATGGCTCGGGGGTGCAGGGCTGCCCACCCTTCTCTGGTGGTGGCAGGCACCGCGGGCTTCGCCTGGGCCCCCTCGTGGGCCGGCACTGTGCGAGGCTCACCAGCCTCTGAGTCTCCTTGCTTTACAGCCTGGTGGGATGGAGCCCAAGGCTGGGAACCGAATCTGCCTTGGCCCGGGCAGTGACCCTGCAGGCCCGGGCTGCAGGCGGTGCCTCTCCGTGTCCACGTCTGTGGGGCGTCGGGGCGCTGGGGCGCTGGGCAGGCACGTAGGGCACTGGGCTCTCCATGTCTCTCTTGGGGCTTCCCTGGCCTCAGTCGGCTTGCACTTCCGAGCCCACGAGAACAAAGCCGCCCGGTGTTTGTTTGCTGAGGTGAAGCGCAGGGCCGCCCCTCACAGCTGCAGAAGGGCTTAAGAGGCCTGCTCCTCTGAGGTGCCTTTTCACAGCGGTTGTGCAGCTGAGGCAGCCGGCACAGCAGCTCTGAAGGCGGAAGCTCGAAGGCTCTGATGGCGCGAAAGCATCTCACAGTGTGGCGGCGACTCGGAGGTGCTGGGGCTGCGCCTGAGCTCCCCGAGGCCCCGGCTCGCCCTTCGGGACGTGCCGAGCGCTTCTGGGAGGGGACACAGGCTCTTGGTGTTGCTCTGACGAAAGCCAGCATGTGGGCACAAGGAGCCCTCAGCCAAGGCCCTGCCTTTCTGTTTCTTAACTCCTATGGTCGCTGTGTGTGTTTTCATTAAAGAACGATTTGGAGTTGAGGTTGGGGCGTGAACGCTCCCTCAGGAGCCATCCCTGGAGGGCCCTGGTTCCCACAGAGACCCTCTCCCCTGTGCCCCGGCTCCTCCAGCGCCGCCTCCTCCTACTCTGAGATGACGGCATGCGGCCCCTTGGGGAGCCTTTTCCTGGTCACCAGCTGCTGTCCAGGGAGCTCCTGAGGAAGGAACCCGTGAGAAGATGGCTGCTCAGCTGCAGCCGTTCTTGACCTTGGGCCTCAGGAGATGATCGTGTCCCTCAAGAGCTGCTGTCTCGTGGGGTCCCCAGCTGGAGAGCTTGAGAGTGGCTTGGGAAGCAGGCAGGGAGCCCTGAGCCCCTGCAGGTGCTGGGCGTGTGTGAGCTCTAACCGTGGACGCCTGGGCCCCCACACCCTCCGCCCCAGAGCCCCAGGACCCGCCTGGCGTGTGGTGTGTGTGGTGGCCTGAGCCCCATGCCTCTCGGTCTTGTGAGTGTGGGAGGTGCCCCAGGCACACACGCTGGGTGTGCTGGGGCAGATGGCACACGGAGCGCTCTCCCCACAATAAAATAAAGCACAGTGGAAGAGGGCACTGACGTCTGGGGACTCCACTGCAGCCCCGAGGCACAGAGCGCTGCATGACTTTCTTGCTCGATTTCGTCTCTGCGTCTGATCTGCAGGTGCACTAGTGCGCATAAGGCCATTCGATGGGACAAATGGGTCATACCCGGATGTGGCTTAAAAGGACGGAGAGAGGAAAGACAGGCGGCTCGGGGGCTGGCTCCCCTGCCCTTGCAGAAGTCACTTCCGACGCAGGCTAACGTCTCTCTGAGGGACTGGGTGTCCCCGCTGCACACTGGACACGTTGCTGTCCTCTGGGCAGCTTCCCGCACGGCCTCTCAGAATTCCCCTCACTGTAGATGCCCTGGAAGCCCCCGAGGCCTCGTTCCCACGGCTGGCCCTGAGGGGTGCGTGGGCGCCGCAGTGCCCCAGGAGTCACGACCGAGCCCCTGGCCAAGTCAAGGGCCTGGGATACCACATGCAGTGCATGGTCCCCCACAGGGTGCTCTTACAGAAGGAAACTGAGGCCAGAGAGGCCCGGGCTGTGCCGAGCCACACTGCGACTTGCTGCCACCCAGCCCCAAGGGCCATTTGTGCAGCGTGGCGGGGCAGCGTGGCGGGGCAGCAGGCTAGAAGATGGGATCCCAGCCCAGAGACCTTGTGGACCACGAGCCAGAGCCGCGCCACCCCCACCTCAGCTGGACACTGGTGGGCCTATGTAACCCACACCGCAGGCTGCGGTGCAGGTGGCTCCTGTTTCCATGCTTCTGCCTGGTGCCCGCCTGTCCCAGCTCTCTGTCCCCAGCCCAGCTGTTGCAGGGCTCTAAATGGCTGTTTAAAAATTCATATCTGCCCTTTGTAGGTAAGAAAATGTCCTTTAAACACTCACACTTGCGACTTTTCCTTGAAAGTCACAAGACCCACAGGCTCCCTAGCCCTGTGGCAGTGGGTTCGGACATGGTGACCACTCTGCCACAGGGGGCCAGCTGCCATTGCCAGCTCTGTGGTCCTCAGCACACCAGGCCAAGGGCAGCAGCCATTGCCCCAATGGCTCTAGTTATCTTCCACAGTGACAGCAGGAGAGGACAAGGCCCCGTGTCCCCTTTGAGGGGGGGGGGGACAGTGGTGGTGTCCTCCAGTACCTCCAGAGATGGGATGGGAACAGTGTGTCTGCTGGGGGTTGTATGTTTCTGCTATCTGTGTGTACGTGTGTCCCTGCTGTCCATGTGTCTGTGTGTCCCTGCTGTCTGCATGTCCCTGCTGTCTGTGTGTCCCTGGGTTCCGTGTGTCCCTGTTGTCTGTATGTCCCTGGGGTCTGTGTGTCCCTGGGGTCTGTGTGTCCCTGTTATTTGTCCCTGGGGTCCGCGTGTCCCTGGGGTCTGTGTGTCCCTGGGGTCCGTGTGTCCCTGCTGTCTGTGTGTCCCTGGGGTCTGTGTGTCCCTGGGGTCCATGTGTCCCTGCTGTCTGTGTGTCCCTGGGATCCATGTGTCCCTGGGATCCATGTGTCCCTGCTATCTGTATGTCCCTGGGGTCTGTGTGTCCCTGGGGTCCGTGTGTCCCTGCTATCTGTATGTCCCTGGGGTCTGTGTGTCCCTGGGGTCTGTGTGTCCCTGCTATTTGTATGTCCCTGGGGTCCGTGTGTCCCGGGGGTCTGTGTGTCCCTGGGGTCCGTGTGTCCCTGGGGTCCGTGTGTCCCTGCTGTCTGTGTGTCCCTGGGGTCCGTGTGTCCCTG